AGCATTTCGTCGAACAAATTCTGTGCCTTGCCAGGGGCTCCACACTTTCCGTACATTGCCATGGCCGAATTGTTTACAAAAACGTTGGAGTGAGTGTAACCCGAGACAAGAGCCCGCGCGTGGACAGACGAGCCGGCGAGGAGAGACGGGAGATCACCGCAGGCTTTGAAAGTGTAGGGATAAGTGAAGTCGTCAGGGGCCCACTCGAGCCTCCGCATCTCGCGAAAGAGGCGAAGGGATTCTCTCGGATTTCGAGACGAGACGCTTGATTTGATGAGAATGTTCCAGAAGAACACCAAGGAGGGAGACGGTGGAATGCGGCTGAGCAGGGAGAGAACATCATGGAACTTTCCAGAGGAGATGAGATCGGAGAGTGCTCGGGAAGTTGAGTTGGGGTCTGATGTGAAGTTTTCGGAAGAAGGTTCGAGGCAGCGCTGAGCTGTCGCTGTCTGAGAGGAGAACAAAAGCTTGAGATTGAGCGGCCGGAGAATGGAGTACCCTTGGCGGTGGGAGGAGGAAAGCAGCATTCGCCAATCTGCTACGGCTTTCGGAAGTTCGAAATCGCGATTTTGTGATAGTGGTTTTTCTCTGTTCGATTAAAAGACATAAGACAAAAAGTTGGGAGCGAATGTATCGGAGTCGAAAAACTTTTATCAAATTAAATTATGAAGAAAACTTGTTGGAGCTGAGTTACAAGTTACAACACCACTTCTTAAGGTAAAAACGGCACAATTCATTAGCATCTACCATATATTCCTAGCAATTATGTTTCTTTTTTCATGATCTAACTGAGTAAAATAAAGTTTATAGCTGAATATGTAATATATTAATATATACTAATATTAAAGGTCAAGTAAGAACAATGAAACATCAAAACTTGGGATAAGAGTGTCAGCAAACTCTCAAATGGGGAATAGAAGTTTTGAAGAATTAGCAGACAGTACAAAAAAAATCCAACCTTTTCCATGAAAAGCATCCTATTTCAAACAAGAAAATTAACAACACCAAAGGTCAATCTACAATTACAAACCCAAAACCAAGTGCAGGTAATGTATGCAAAACCTAGAAAAGGAGGGAAATGGACATCGACTCAAGTACCAAGCAACAGGTAAAACGGGGATATTATGCGGGCCAAGCCCATAAAGCCCGGTGAATATTTTCAGTACCAGGTTTAATTGCTTTCGTGTGCCTAAGAGATCACAATCATCAGACACAAAACATACACACACACAGAGAACACAAAGAACATTTTTTTTTTTTTTTTTT